AACAGACAGCTTTGGGTTTTCCTTTGCACACTACAATCTGACTGTACGGTCTCCTCTAAACTTACCAAAACTATGTAATATGAGGACAAACCGTATCAATCCATTCAATTTCTATCCAGTCACACATGACCTTACATTGTACCGTTGTTGATAGATCGAAAGGAGATTGTATATTGTACGGTCAGGTTTGGACTTCGCTATAACAATTTGTCTGTAAATTGTCTCAAACCGCTCCCTGTGGCTGACAACTACAAACTAATATCTGCAACTGGAAATAGAAAGTCCCGGGTAATGAAATTGCCTGAAGGTAGAAACCCCCTTTTTTTTCTGGAAGGATTACTGAAATGAACTCTGGGAAGAAACAAATCTCCATCCTCCTGGGGAGATATTGGAGGCAGCAATGCCGTGTAGGGTTTCACGGTCCTTCTTCTGGCAAAAGACTTAAAGGAAACCCGAGAGAAGTTACAGGGACGGCTATTGTTCAGCTCCTTGTGCAATGCTAGTTCCAAGGCTGCATCTGACTTCAGTGTATTGAGTCACCTACCCGGCGAAATTCTGAGTTAAAGGCATAGCCAACCTTTTGCAAGAAAGTAATAGATGGAGCACATTGATTTAAAAAAAAAAAAAAGTGCATTCAATAATTTTTTGCATGGCAACCGTGATCAATGGATTATGGGTGCAATGCTCAGGGCCCTGCAGACTATTCAAACAGCCCCAGGTCTGTTGGGAGGTATGGACCTTCTGTTATCGGGCTGGAGGAAGTTATCAATGGGCTAAAAGTGTGGTGACGTCAAAGAAATTGTGCTCCATTGAGATCTACGTACTTGTACTCCACTGAGGTCTATGTACATGTGCTCCACTGAGATCTACGTACTTGAGGCTCCTTTGAGTTATATGTAGTGTGTGACATTGAGATCTACATACTTGTGCTCCATGGAGATCTATGCACCTGTGTTCCAATAATGCCTACGTACTCGTGCTCCATTAAGATCTACGTACCTACAGTATGCTGCATTGAGATCTACATACTTGTGCTCCATGGAGATCTATGCAATTACGCTTCACTGAGATCTACGTACTTGTGCTCCATTGAGATCTACGTACTTGTGCTCCATTGAGATCTACGTACTTGTGCTCCGATGAGATCTACATACTTGTGCTCCATTGAGATCTACATACTTGTGCTCCATTGAGATCTACATATTCGTGCTCCATTGAGAGCTACATACTTGTGCTCCATTGAGTTCTATGTACTTGTACTCCAATAAGATCTAGGTACTTGTGCTCCATTTAGATCTAGATACTTGTGCTCCATTGAGATCTACATACTTGTGCACCATTGAGTTCTATGTACTTGTACTCCAATAAGATCTAGGTACTTGTGCTCCATTGAGATCTAGGTACTTGTGCTCCATTGAGATCTAGGTACTTGTGCTCCATTGAGATCTACATACTTGTGCTCCATTGAGATCTAGGTACTTGTGCTCCATTGAGATCTACATACTTGTGCTCCATTGAGATCTACATACTTGTGCACCATTGAGTTCTATGTACTTGTGCTCCATTAAGATCTACATACTTGTGCTCCATTGAGTTTCTATGTACTTGTGCTCCATTGAGGTCTACATACTTGTGCTCCATGGAGATCTACATACTTGTGCTCCATTGAGATCTAGGTACCTGTGCACCGTTGAGATCTAGGTACTTGTGCTCCATTGAGATCTAGGTACTTGTGCTCCATTGAGATCTACATACTTGTGCTCCATTGAGATCTACATACTTGTGCTCCATTGAGTTCTATGTACTTGTACTCCAATAATATCTAGGTACTTGTGCTCCATTGAGATCTAGGTACTTGTACTCCAATAAGATCTAGGTACTTGTGCTCCATTGAGATCTAGGTACTTGTGCTCCATTGAGATCTACATACTTGTGCTCCATGGAGATCTACATACTTGTGCTCCATTGACATCTAGGTACTTGTGCTCCATGGAGATCTACATACTTGTGCTCCGTTGAGATCTACATACTTGTGCTCCATTGAGATCTACATACTTGTGCGCCATTGAGATCTATCTTAGTTTAAGTGAACCCGCTGCTTTGCAGTTCATGGCCAGGACACTGGTTCTCCTTAACTATAACTGGTAAGATAAATATCTCTTAGTAATGATGATATATTCAGACTCACCCTCCAGTCGGGGCACAGCAGCGGGTGGGTCTCTGGCACCGGGGTCCCCAGATGGGAGTTGAAGTTCTGCATGGGCAGGATGAGGCGATCTTCATACAGGGAGGAGCACTGCGGAAAGACAAATCACATAACAGATAGTTGTAGACCCTTTAACTCCCCATATATCTGCTGGCAGTCAATACATAAGTCATACAAGTCCAGAGTTTTCATTGATGACATAGCACAGTGAAGCCTCCTTAGAACAGCAGATATTTATTACATCGCCTATACCAAAATTAGGATTATTATTCATTTTAGGAGAGTGGGCAGCGCTATGTACATCATTCATTTACACCCCATCAGACAGAGCCCCTAACTTCCTGTGCTCTCTGCCACTGCTGCACTGAAATCTCAAACCATGTTACCAGCCCAGCCCAGTTCTCTTTTGTGTACTACAGAACACCACCCCAATATGGTATGGAGATAAGGATACAAAGTGGTATCCTGGAGTTGAGCTTTAATCAGGCTTTGGGGGGGGCGGGGTGAATCAAGGTCAGACTTTTGCTGAGTGGGAAGTATTCAGGGCAGCACATGGCAGCTCTTTCACAATGTGCCCTTCTGCTCCAAGGACACGTGGCTTCCTTCTGTTTTTCTAACAATAGGATGGCATGTTAGGAGCATTACAATCTGTGGTTATCCCAGCAACAAAAACACACTTTACTTGATTCTGAACAAACATCTCTTAAATTCTCACTTCCTTTTCGAGATAATGGTTCACCATTTCCTTCCCAATTCTTTCATCCTCCAGCGCAGTTTCCTTAACAATCCCATTCGTTATCTCGGAATAGCAAAGCTTGCATCCATTATTCTAAAGCGGCCTTTAATATTTCCCATAAGGCTGCATCCCTATATGCAAAATGGACGGCCTGGGCGCCACCCTGGTCATGGAAGAACAAGAGACCCGCCGCTGCACTCTGTCTTTTGGCATGTAAAGGACTTTATTGTACTTGAATGTATATGGCCCCACCAGGACCTCACTCCCTGAATAATCACTATAGGGATCCTTATGATTAAAGAGGAACCTCACCTCACCCCCCCTTTTTTCCCCCCTATCCCCTCTTACCCATAAGCCAGGTTCATACCAGAAACATACTCACCTGACAAGCAAATCCAGCATTGTCCTGCTGCGATCCACCAATCAATGGCCACAGGTCCCACGCCACCATCTTCTCCTGTGACATCATTGATGACACATGGTCAGGTACACCCACTGGCTGCTGTGAGTTCCTGGGGAGTTCCTATGTTTTCAGTTCGCAGAGTGAACGTTTTCTGTGACATCATCGATGACGCGCGGCCAGGTCCACCCACCGGCCACTGTGAGTTGCTATGCTCCTCAGCTACATCTAGTGGCCCTAATGTGGTGTGGATCTAAAACTAGGACCATTTGCAGAGTGAACGCTTTCTGTGACATCATCGATGATGCGCGGCCAGGTCCACCCACCGGCCACTGTGAGTCCCTATGCTCCTCAGCTACATCTAGTGGCCCTAATGTGGTGTGGATCTAAAACTAGGACCATTTGCAGAGTGAACGTTTTCTGTGACATCATCAATCACGCGCGGCCAGGTCCACCCACCGGCCACTGTGAGTTGCTATGCTCCTCAGCTCCATCAAGTGGCCCTAATATGGTGTGGATCTAAAACTAGGAACATTCGCAGAGTGAACGTTTTCTGTGACATCATCAATCACGCGCGGCCAGGTCCACCCACCGGCCACTGTGAGTTGCTATGCTCCTCAGCTCCATCAAGTGGCCCTAATATGGTGTGGATCTAAAACTAGGAACATTCGCAGAGTGAACGTTTTCTGTGTCATCATCGATGATGCGCGTCCAGGTCCACCCACCGGCCACTGCTAGTTCCTATGCTCCTCAGCTCTATCTAGTGGCCCTAATGTGGTGTGTATCTAAAACTAGTACCATCGTTGGATATAGATGTCACCAGCACTCCACAAACGACAAAATAACAAAAGAATGTTCACTTTAAGCCTGATGAAGGGGACCCTGTGCGGCCCCGAAAGCGCTTGATTCCTTTCGAGTGAATAAAATGAAGATTCACTAAAATCTTTTGTTATTTTGTCGTTTCTGGAGTGCTGGTGACATCCATATCCAACGATTATATCTGATGCGGCGCCATCCGTAGTCATTGCGAGCACCCACATCTCCACATGGGAAGTCCGGTAAGGAGTGCTACAGGTCCTTGGACATTTAAAACTAGTACCATTCGCAGAGTGAACGTTTTCTGTGACATCATCGATGATGCGCGGCCAGGTCCACCCACCGGCCACTGTGAGTTCCTATGCTCCTCAGCTCTATCTAGTGGCCATAATGTGGTGTGAATCTAAAACTAAGACGCTCGTGAAACGGCTCTGCAAGCGTTTTACAAATATTCCCTCAAATGCCCTTCAGTCAAGTTTGCATCTACTTTAAATCAATTTTATTTATCAATTTGTGTTTGGCTCTCAATAATGTATTTCCAGATTGGCGAATAGTCACTTGCGTTTGAGTTACCAATCCAGTATTCCTAAAAAATAAGTGGCAGGTGCTGGTTGGGTTTACCTTGGGGAAGAAGGTGCGGGTCACAAAATGCTTGTACTCCAGGAACGGTATTCCCTGGCTGCGGTTCAGCTCTTTGGTCAGATCCGTCATGTCTGTCTGCAGCTCAGCGAATCCTAAAACCAGAGACAAAGGAGACGTGATCAGCAATTTCTTACTCACCTTGAATGAAAGAACCAAAAAGAGAAGGAAGCGGGTGCTGCGAAATGAGCTCTGTCCTGGAAACATATTAGTGCTGTTTCAGCGCTCGGGTCCTGGCTTCAGTTTTCACTAGGGCCCAGTCTATATATACATATTCTCTACTCACAGCTCCATGCTGCAGACACTGCCACTAGCAGTATTACACTTCATATACATACAACTATTATTGCAATTCAAACTGAGTCCGGCCACATTGAAATCAGTGCTCAGCCGCGGCTCCTGTCATGCGTTTTATGTCAATTAGAACTGGACTCGAATTCAGATTATTGTAAGAGTGGCAAGCTTTAGATTGTGAGTTCCTCAGGGGCGGAGCATAAAGCATACTCTGCACTTCAAGTAAGGTTTATTAATTGTGTACCCGCTCCCCCCGCATAAAAGTACTCATGGGAGTAAAAATAGTTACATAAAATGCTTATCTTTCCCCAACTTCCATAGTGCAGGCGGTTTCATCGTCCTACTGGGAAAGCTGAGTAGCCGATATCTTGCGAGAAGACGCCACAGTACAGCGCAAGATCGTCTTCTCATGAGATTTGGGCTACTCAACGTTCTCGGATATCTGTCCGGAAATGATGACGTCATTCTTGGCTAGGTGCTGCGGTAGGAAACCGGGGATGGAAGGAAGTTGGAGGAAGGTGAGTATCATATGCAACTTATTCCCTCGCAGTTGTATTTTGCATTCTCATCCAGCGTTTTAGGGAGGGGCGACAGCTTGGATAAGTGAACGTTGTCACCACGGTGGGCGGTCCACTTTAGGAGGCTGGTTCAGAGTTCTATTTATATATTACTATGACATTTGGTGATTGTATAGAAGCCAATTCATTGATATTTGAATAATGCCTCAAAACCAACCTCACTTCTAAAATGTTAGAATCTCGCTGATCAGATGCCGCCGAATTACCTTTTCTGATCTCCTCCCGGATCTGGGACTCCATCTCCTCCATCTGTAAGAGCGTTTTCTGCCAATAGCGCTCGGCTCGCCGGCTCTTGGTGCAAAAGACAAACAGAGCTGGGAGAGGAGACAATCGAATGAGTGTTTCTGGCACAATGCAATCAGTCTGATCAATGACTATGACCTATATGCATACTCCCCCCCCACCTCCCCCTATCATATATAAGCTCAAGCTGGGTTCTCCCATTTACCTATATAGAGTCTGTATTCGCCCCTGCGCACTGCAATGCAATAGCCACAGAGGACATAAATCCACTTCAATTAAACTAAAAGCCTTTACAAAAAGAAAGGGATAAGTAAATGTCTAAATACAAGAGTCATGTGTATCCTTCGTGAATCTTGGTGAGCTTTGGGTATTTCTTCCAGATCTGTGCAAAACTCGGAGCTTCCTGTAATAAAGACCGGTCACTGCTGCTCTCTATCCTTGTGCAGGGTGGCTGGTCTTGTCTCCGCCCCCCTCCTGTAATAAAGACCACTCACTGGTGCTCTCTCTCCTTGTGCCGGGTGGCTGGTCTTGTAAACGCCTCCTCCTGTAATAAAGACCACTCACTGGTGCTCTCCTTGTGCAGGGTGGCTGGTCTTGTCACCGCCCCCTCCTGTAATAAAGACCGCTCACTGCTGCTCTCTCTTCTTGTGCAGATTGACTGGTTTTGTCTAAGCTATGCTATGCTAAGCCAATGCAATGCAATTAACAACAGCCTTGTCAGCCTGCCCTGTGAGCTGGGTCAGCTGGCCATTAGGCTGTCTATTAGGTCTATCAGATAAGCAGACCAACAGCCAATGGAATCAGCTTGCACTGAATACAGTGATATACAAATTATACTAAACATACAGAAAACCAGATTTAGGGTTTGCGTGGACTTTGAGTAGGCAGTCTGAGGCACACACTTACCCACCACGGTCAGCAGCAACAATATACCACAAATAATGACGGACACAATGACTGACGTGTCTATGCCGGCCTGGTGAAGCATGCTGATGGTCTGGTTGAATTTACCGACTTGTACCTGTGAAGAAAGGTAATATAATCAGAAGAGCCCATACAATCCATCTGCATCAATCTACAATGAGCCGCAGGCAAAAGATGCATCAGAAAGTGACGTGACACTCACAACTGATGATGACAACCTGGCAGCGGCACTTCGTTTGCAGAGGAAAAAGTGTCACTTACTAACCGGAGGAAACTTATGGATGTGACACTGAAAAATATCAGCATGGAGACTGATGGGAATAAAATCTACGTTTCTGGGATGGAAAGGAGGCGCAAAAACTGGATCAGGAAGCACAGTGCCAGGACCACCTGGGCAGTGGATGAAGACATGGTCCACCACCTATAATAATGCTGGTCAACTTCAGCTGAGGGCCGAGTATGATATAGACTACACAGTACACAATGGGGCCGAGCATGATATAGAATATATACGTAATGCTACACAAGGCTTTCAGAGGCTGACAGGAATATGATATATGTTTGTGGAATGGAAAGGAGGAGGGAAAACTGGATCAGGAAGCACAGCACTAAGTCCACCCGGGCAGTGGATGAAGACATGGTCCACCACCTATAATAGGTCTGGTCAACTTCAGCTATGGCCCATGAGATCACCAAAGGGCCGAGCGTGATATAGAATATACGTAATGCTACACAAGGCTTTCAGAGGCTGACAGGAATATGATATATGTTTGTAGAATGGAAAGGAGGTGGAAAAACAGGCTACAAATTATATCTTTGTATCAAATTAATGAAAACATGGGAGAGAAGTAAGCTTTCGTATGAGTCATATCAGGAAATTCCCTCATTACTTGCTCTGCCCGGCACATCAGGTTTTTAGGGGGCTTCTGCTGTTGCAGTAAAGTCATGCGGACATTATATTTGGCTGCTGGAAAAAGTTGCCAGCCTCAGTAAAAACGCAGCCAAGAAAGCAGAACAAGGGATTTCATTTTTTTTTGGCCTCACCGTTGCATCTCAGAGGTCACTTACAGCCATCATGTGACTCCTGGCTCCTAGCAGACGTCTGCTGTACAGTTTTAGGCCATTCCGAAGACAAAGACCTTGTCAGTGCACAGACACTGAGATATTTTATTCCGGACACTGACGATTGGCTTAGCGGGTCCAGCGATGGTTAATAACCACGCTCCATGGCTGCAGGCTCTTCGTGTACACTGATGGACAATGTTCGCTTGGTTTTTTGGCTTGGGCGCTTTCCAAAACACAACGGTTTATATGGAGCAATCTTTTTCTACGGGTGGCCAAATGCAGACCGGTTGTTGCCAAGACATGTGACACACTTGGCCCTTTGCTTGCCAAGGTCATGAAAATATCAGGCCAAGTAGTGTTTAGTTAGATGGTAATGATGACAACTTCTCGGCATCTGGAATGACTGATAATAAAACAGTTCTCATAGAAGGTACAATGTCTCTATGGGACTCAACAACTGCTGTCACCTTTTCCTTGAAGAAAAGGGAACAAGAGTATGGAATCAGTTGGCAAAGCCAAGGAGAGGGCAGCAGCAAGTTGTGGAGCTCCGGCAACAGTAGTGAGGACAGATAGATACCACTCTGACTTTTTTAGTGAGGCTTGAGTTGCCTTAGGTTGGCCAATGACTGCCAATACTGCTTTGACAATTGGACACTAGTCCTGTGTAGGACATGTTAAAGCTGATAAGATACATTAAACGTAGCTGTCCATCCAAACCTTAGATTTCCAAAGCTTTTCCACACAGCACAGCCCACTCTGGCAGGGCAGCGGACCAGATTCAGTTAACTAACACTTTCAGGCAGGGTCACTGATAACAGGGTACAGGCAATACAGCTGTAGCAGGCCCAGGCCCAATTGGGTCAGCAGGGGGGCCCAGATCCAACTGAAGCTGCCTGTGGGCTCTGAGCAGCATCACTCCAGGCTCTACCAGAATGCAAGAGACCAGTGCAATGCCAATGTAAATGTCTCCTCTACTTACTTCCCCCACCAAGCATACCTCTGCCTTCTTTCTTGATCGACTGGCATTGGAGGAGGGGAAGGGAGGTATGTGCTGTCGCTGGTGATTTATGGGGCAAGATTTTCCAAGTGGCACATTGTGGCTGACTAAGATGGCCCTGTCAGGTAGGCTATATGGGAGCCCTATGATTTATTACAGGTTTTGTCCCTCCTCCAGCCTGTTACTGGACAGTGAAAAGAGAAGCAGCAGACTGATGAGCTCATCTCCCTGTCACTCTACCCTACTATCAGCATGCTCTAATTTGACACATGAGCTTTGCATGACAATTAACTGGCTTCTTGTTCTGCTTAGTCCAGGGACTACACGAGGCTGATAGTCAAACTCAGATACTTACACTGACTGCATTAAAAAGATAAAGGCATTTAATGATGTAATAATGAATATCAAGCTGCATTATCTGCCTGGAGTTCAGCTTTAAATAATTATAGAGATACGGCCTGTAACTTGGGACGTAGACCAATTCCATTTCCAGTCTTGCACGGTGGGACCTAAACATTTTGCTCCCTGTTGTTTATTGTGGGTAGACATGGGAAAATGGATCCTTAATCACTTTGATTTAATAACAGGTGATTTGGGAAGGTAGCAAATGTCTTAAATTCTCCAAAGATACTTACGGTAACAGGTAGGTATCGCTCTGATGTATCCAAGGACCCGTTGATGGTGCAGTGAATGACTTTGTCGTTGAAAACTATCAGCTCGCATGGAGTCTGACCAACCTTGACTTGATACTCATCCTCCCTTAGACCCAGGTCATCATGTTCTTTCTATGAAGAGACCAAAAAAAATTGTGTTAGACGCAAATCAAAACTTTTGTTCTATAATAATCTCTTGTTTTAAATACGGAGGGTAGAGGGTCATTGTTGAGTTCCTTACATGTATCACCAGAGTCAGAGGTTCTCCAATATGGTGTTTGATCAACTTCTCCTTCTGGGCGGTGTAGAACATGGGGTCCGGTTGATATTCCAGGCTGAACCTGCTGTTTAGGGAACCCTTCTCGGTTGGGTCATCTCTTTGTTCCACATCGGACATCTCATAGGCACCGTTGACGTAAAAGGACACGCTGATGTTTCTTTTCTCCAGAGTCGTGTTGGGGCCAGTGGGGGAAGGGCAGGTGATCACAGTGTCACTGATAACTGTGCAGTTCTAAAAGTAATGTCAAAGAGACAATCAGAGATTGCACTTATTTTGGAGTGGTTGACCATCAACATTCAACAAAAACATCTAAAGCCAAACTTTTCATTCAAAAGTATTAGACAGGGTAGAGGGGTAGGAAGCACTGTGAGGCTTCGATAGATGTATGGGCCACCTCCAGGGAGATTCACCCTCTATATTTGTCCTGGTGACCATTGTCACTGGGGCATAGCACAAAACCAATATTTTACGGATCACACTGAAACCAAAGGGGGTGATGGGAAATTTTGCAATGGGAACACTTGTTCCAGTGACAACAGTTTAAAAGGGGATTTCCCTCATTACAAAGAGTTTTTTGCAGTTACTGACAAGTCCACTTTAACAACACGTCTTTACTGAAAAGCTACTGTATATAAACCAAACATAATAGTAACATTTACCATTTGTCCTCCATTATGGTGTTGAATTTTTATCTTCACATCTTGAACGAGGCTGAATCGTTCTCCGGTAAGAGTGATGGTTCGACCTCCACTACAAAAGAGAAAACACATCAAAAGTTCAGTGCTCGGCCTTGGTGGTGAACAGTCTCACGGTGATCCAGCAGCCAACATAATCTTTCATCACAAGTTTCTTTCATTGTTTTCATAAAGAGAAACCTGACAATTTAACTTTGCTGGACCTAACTTACACTGCATGGCTGATTGTTTGTGTTGAACATTCTATTCCAAACTCAAGGGCATGAATATGGAGCTGGCCCCCATTTGTGGCTACAACAGCCTCCACTCTTCTTGGAAGGCCACAAGATTTTAGAGTGTCTGTGGGAACTTGTGACCATGTGAGGTCAGGTACTGATGTTGGATGAGAAGACCTGGCTCACAGTTAGTGTTTCCATTCATCCCAATGGTGATCAGTAGGATTGGGGTCAGGTACTGATGTTGGATGGGAAGACCTGGCTCACAGTTAGTGTTCAAATTAATTCCAAAGGTGTTCAGTAGGGTTGAGGTCAGATTCTGATGTTGGATGAGAAGACCTGGCTTATAGTCAGTGTTTCCATTCATCCCAATGGTGATCAGTAGGATTGGGGTCAGGTACTGATGTTGGATGGGAAGACCTGGCTTATAGTCAGTGTTTCCATTCATCCCAATGGTGTTCAGTAGGGTTGAGTGCTTCTGTGTAGGCCACTTGAGATTCCTCAGCAACAAACTGGTTATGGTGGAACAGAAAACGGTCTTCACCAAACTGTTATCATGAGGTTGGAAGACCAAGATTGTCTAAAATGTATGATGTGGTATTACCAGAACCTTCACTGGAGACACCTGAACTCCATCATTTGGAGGGGAGGTCCACATACTTTTGGCCATCTAATGTACCTCTATAGGGATCAGTACATTTTCAAGACAGCACATTACATCCTAATACACACCTTACATGGCTGCTTCTGGGCTCCATGTTTGTGATCACTGGGTTCTCTTTGTATTGGAAAGTGAAATTCCCCTCTAAGCAAGAGCGTCTTTCGAACTGGACACAAACTGTGACATTCATGTTGGGAAGGGATTCCATTGCTGGAACGGTGCAATGGATGCTGCTCTCCGTGCGTCTGAGAAGACATAGCAAAGAGATTTTAAAGCAGAAAGATAGAAACATGGGAATGATTTACTGAGACAGGAATGGAACGCAACAGAGAGATGGGAAGAACATCTGAGAGTTTCAAATAAGAGATTGCTGGATGTCAAATAAAGTATCATGTTGGCAGCTTACGCAAGGTCTCTGCATTCCAGGGTGTCATCAAACAGGACGCGCACGTCCCCGCCAATGTCAAGCTGGTCCCCGGTAATGGTCATTTTGGTCCCTCCAGCTCGTGGCCCGAGACTTGGGAACATGGAATCCACCTTTGGAACCTGGGTGGGATTAGAGTGAAATCAGACACCAAACTATAGCCAGAGAAGATTCCTATTCATAGGGGTGAAAGTAGGGGATGGTGAAAGGGGGAGGGGGAGCCTGGGGAGCACAGAGAACGTGCAATATTATACATTCACACAGGTTTCCAAGGATCATTATAGAGCATCCAATGTGACTTTCACCAAACGTTCACTGCCATGTAAAACACATGCCCCAGGAAGATTCACCTCATACTCAATATGGGCCAATGCTTTCCAAATATTGGTGAAATGAAGGGAATATTCTCAGCTCCTTTAGTAAATAAGTCCCAGCAAGCCCTTACCATAAAGGAATACTTCTCTTTTGAGTGTCCCGCTCCATTGACATCCAGGGTCACCGAATCGCTAAGCTCACGAGGAGACGTCCCCGTCATGCATACGATCCTTGGAAAAGAGAGTGGACACGATTTAAAGGGACAGTAACGGAAAGTTACAGCAACATTTTAAACAATGCAGATGGTTTAAAGCCCAGTAATCCCATAGAAGAAAGTTTCCTATTGTCACTCTATTGGC